TTTGTCATTATGAAAATTTCAATAAAATGAAAAATTAAGTTAATAAATTTTTTTTTGTTATAAACAAATTGTATTTTTTTAAATTTTTTAACACCATGTTATTGTACATAAGAAACCATCAACCTCGCCCATTAACAATTTTTTTATATGTCTTTCCGTTTTCGAGATAGCCGTTTCGAGCCAAAACTTCAAGGGGTGGTTTCACCCCTTAAACTCGAGTTACCGCAGCTAAAAAAAAATACGTGTCGATTATTTTTGGCTGCTTTATAAGTGTACAAAGTTTCATCAAAATCGAAGCCGGACCGTTCGCGATGGTTCCTTGTCAGTTCCTTCCTATCGGATGAATATCCTTCGATGTTACGCTAAACGTTAAGTATTTTCAATTCGAGAGCTACGTTCATGTTTGGACACTTGTACAAGGTAATTGCTCATTTGATGATACATCGTTTCACGCAAGTTTACCGTTTGCTCGCTGATTATAACGGTTTGTGGTACATTTATACGTAGGGTAACTTTTAACCTCAGAAACCGAAGTGCGCGCATGCGCAGTAGATTCTTTTCTCGAATCGATGGCATCGCGTAAGGGACTTTTATTTTCGAAAAGTGTCGGGCAAAATTTTATTCGAATATCGAGTTAACAGCCTCTGTATGTACCTTATCTTCCTTTTCATTTAATTCTGAGTTTTTGAATGTATACAAGTTTGATACAATAAAGATCATTATTATTATTTTCGAATAATTTCACAGAAATGTAGATAATCAGTAAAACTAAAATTGTCATATCAATTTTTATCCATTTGTTGCGGAGCACTTCGTTCCATAATTTTATTTTATTTGTGTATTTGATATCTTTATTACTCAAAACAATAAAAAAAAAAATACAAAAATTTTACAATGACAGAAATATTTTATACAGAGTAAAGGAAGAAGTTCAGGAATAAGACAGTTATTTCTAAACCCTGAATTAAAGAATTAAAACTAATTATTTAGGGATAATAGAGAAACAGTCGTTTATTTATAACGACTATAATAACGTTATTGTGAGAATTTTCTCTGCTTATAAGGTTCGTAATTAACATGGATCGTGTCTTTGAGGAAAACGTCTATGATCGTCCTTGTGTATTTATAAGTATGTATATACGTAGCTTGAGCTCGCGAATTCGATTTAGAGATTCGAACGAACGAAAGCATCTTGCATGGAGAGTGAACGGTATTTCGGATAATTCGACTGGATTTTCGTAAATCTGTCGACAGAGTCGGGAGAGAGATTTATCGTAACTTTGCGCAACGCGGACACGTGAGTGCACCTGCAGGGCGAGAGGCGCATGCGCGTTCGCGTGGGAGCGTGGCACGCGCAGTGCCGGCTAATTATGTAGCACTCCTACGTGGCATGCGGCACAGGTGTCCACCGTTTCGTTACTCGTTGCCAATTCCGTAACGTACCGGGTGTTTCGGATTTAGAGACCTTTGAAACCCAACCACCGCTCAAAGCAAACCTTTCGCAAACGTATCTTTGAACTCGAACGAATTCCAGGACGAATTCCTTGGCACTTGCCTCTCATTGTTTAACATTATTTTTATTATTAACCCCTTTGGCGTACAATGACGAGTCCGACTCGTCATGAAGTTCCTTACTTCAAATTCCGCAGTAACTATACTCGTCATGAAGTTTAATATAGATATTAAAATCGACAGATCGTGACGGTTGCAAATTAACCTATAAATATACAAATAAATTTTTTCATGAGCATTGCATGTACGAACAAATTCAAACGAGATTAAATAGTACACGGTGGAGAAAATACTTTTAATTAAATCGTACGTCAAGAAGTTAACGGAATTGAAATTACAAGGCGATTTACGCGACAGAGGTTCTCAATCTAATTGCCAGACTCCTAGGATGATCTATTCGAGCGTCAGTAAGATAATAATACGTATATCGTGAAGATTAATATTTCATCTTTTGTGGTTCATTTTTGATATTTCGTTTCAGCAATTCCAATTATTTCCACTTATGCCCTACGATTTATACAGGGTGTTCTGCATTTTTCCGTACACATTTCAGCAGTCTGTAAAGTGTTATATAACAAAAAATTCAAAATAAGACGAAAATCAAGAATATCAATTTCTTGATTGAGGCTTCGTTAAAAGTTATTGAAAAATTAAATTAAAAAATTTCAAATCGTTAAGGAAAAATTATTTTTGGTTGGGAGGGTCATTTACAATCATTTTTGGTCAATAGACATACCCTCGAAATCCTAACCATTTTCGAGAAAAAAATTCCTTTCCGAAAATATTATTTCAGGCCCAGAAATGTCACTCGAAAATTTCTTGCGTATCTTTAAAACGTCATAACTTCTGAACGGATTGGAGGATTTTAATGTTTCAAACGGCAAACAACGTCTATCTTGGGGAAGAATATCTAGGAATTCTAAGAATATTGAAAAAGTTGTTCCTTGACACCGTAAAGTTAGAAAAACCCCCATAAAAATGGTACAATTTTCAAATAGTTATAACTCCTGTAATAGTCAATAGATTTCAATGAAACTTTTTTCTGTAGTAGAGCTTATGGGTACCTACAAAAAAGTATTAGACAACTTTTCTGTTGGGCGTTAAACAAAATTACTAAAAATCAAAAACAAATTTTTAAGGAAAATCGACAGGGTGCCTTTTTTCGACGAAAGTAAAAAATTTCAAATCATTCTGGAAAAACTATTTTTGGTTGTGGGGGTCAATTACAATCAATTTTGGTCATTAGGCATAACCCCGAAATCCTACGCATTTTCAAGAAAAAAATTCAGGAATGTGGACAAATTTTTCATCGAAATGGAAAAATTTCAAATAATTCTGAAAAAATTATTTTTAGTTACGGGAGTCAATTAGAATCATTTTTGGTGAATACACACACCAACGAAATTTTACGCATTTTCGAGAAAAAAATTCATTACTGAAAATATACTGTGTGACCATAACTGTCTGTTACCCTGAAAATTGTAAAGTATCAAATCATTCTAAAAAAATTCTTTTTGATTGGGAGGGTCAATTACAATTACTTTCGGTGAATACACATACCCCCAAATTCCTACTCAATTTCGAGAAAAAAATTCTTTTCCGAAAATATACCGTGTGGCCAGAAATGTTTCCCCGAAATTTCATGCGTATGTTTAAAAAATCATAACTTCTGGACGGATTGAAGGATTTTAATGACTCGAAATTCAAACAATGCGTATTAATGGAGCCCCAGAGCCCCAAAAAAATGGGCGGAAAAAATTATAATGGGAGATTCTAGAAGCCAAAATAAGACGAAAATCAAGAATACCAATTTGTTGATTGAGGCTTCGTTAAAAAGTTATTAACGTTTAAAGTTCCGTCTGTGGAACAGCAATCTGCGAACAGCTGCGCACGCGCGATAGTGCGCCGTTCCACAGGCGGAACTTTAAACGTTAATAACTTTTTAACGAAGCCTCAATCAAGAAATTGGTATTCTTGATTTTCGTCTTATTTTGGTCCCTAGAATCTCCCATTAAAATTTTTCCCATGGTTGACCAAACACCATATATAAACAAATTCTTATCTCTTCAGTATATTAAGAAAAAACATTGTCTTTTATATTCGGCTAATTCAACTGGCTTGAATTCTATATTCTATTTTTAATGTGTCTTATATTAATATTCATAAAAAATTACGCTTCGAAAGGTGCTATAGTGCTAAACTTATAAAAATCAAATTAAAAACTCGTAAATTCGACAGATGGCAAGTGTTTAAAAACATGCATCGACAAAATTTCTGTAAAAATGATCAATGGTATTACAAATTCCTTTACTAGTATTTTACAGTATTTTACAGTCTTATTTTGGTCCCTAGAATCTCCCATTAAAATTTTTCCCAAGTTTGGCCGAACACCCTGTATATTGCAAAGAATAGATAAGAATAGCAGTTTTCTTAATACATGTAAATTTAGAGAAAGAAAATAACACCATCAATGGGGCAAAAATAGGTCAATGTAACTCAAAAATGACACACTGTATAAAATTGTTCCAATTTCCAAAAATCATCGAACAGCTTTCAAAATCGATATGTAGCTATCCCTAGTATAGTACTATTGATTTCTAGTGGCAAAATAATTAAATTGCAAATAGAAAAAATTCGAGTTAGGTTAGGGTCGAAAAGGTTAACCTTTCAAAACTTATCCAAGTCCCAAAAAAATTCAGGACTTCCAAGATTTCCACGGCCCTGAAGACTTTGAAGGCTTCGAATCAGATTCGAAATGATTCGAATTTTCCTTTTACAAAGGACTCTTACAAAATGGCCCCCCGGTTAAATTAGCTGAACTTTTGATATGATGTAGTTCATTATGTCTTGATGAAAAGTTCCAACGGGCCCAAAAGCTCGTAAATTGAACAATCAAAAGTGAATAATAGTGCTCCATATTCGAGACTACCACGTTTGAGCATATTCGAGTGTAAGAATCACTGTTACACACTGTCCCATTTATCTGATCTCTTAAAACTCAATGATAGTACTTTGGGCCCATGACCCCCTGACCCCCTGCAGAAAGATGATGACGATGAATCACAGATCGACACTTCGTTGTCAAGATTACAAGACTTGTTACAAGACTAAAAATTTGTTCACAATTTTGGGCCCATTGGGGCCTTTCATCAAGACATCATGAACTACATCAAAAGTTCAGCTAATTTAACCAGGGGCCATTTTCTATGAGATCTGTGCTTCGAATCGATTCGAAACGTTCCAAATCCCATCGCTGACTTTTGGGCCCCACGCAGGCTAAGCCCCCATCATAAATCGTTTGAAAACGAAATATCGTCGAGCTAAATGCCCTCGACGTCGCTAACAAACTCGTATCGCGCAGAAATGATTTTTTTCGTCCATCGAGACTATTCTGGGAGGGTGATATTGATAAACTATCGAGATAAAAAAGAAAGAATGAGGACCACTGTAATATACATTGATTCGTGTTCTCGCTGCCCGCTGAACAGAGTCAGTGATCGTGTCTCGTCGTCGGCTGTTTCTATCGACGAATACGCATGAACTGGTGTAACGAGAGAACCTGGCACCCGCAGGTAGGCCTTGCCAGGAGGATGGGGGCCCACGATGGGGGAGTGCCATTGCTCTAACATCGCTATCATGCAGCTGTTCCATGAGCTGAAGCAGCAGTTCCCTGCGCTCCCTGATCACGTCGTCTCCCAGTGCATCGCCCAGGTACAGGTGCTCTTTGCCCGCCACGCTGCTCTCGGGAACTCGATCCGGAATAAGTACAGTACTTCAGTGTTGTACAGGTCGTGACTAATCTGCATCTCTCGGGTAGACAGATCGGTGTTCAAACGGACGATTCGACTACCGGTAACACCGATTTCTCTGCGCACTAAGGTCTGGTAAACGAATCGACTCGAGAAACTTCCTATAGACTACTTCACGGAGAGGAACTCTTTTATTTCTTACGTCTAGAATGCACACACTTGGTGTACACTTGAGAGTTTTACTCTCGAGAACAATGGTAAAGTTTGTAAAGGAGCGATATAACACTTTTCAGGACAGTAACATGTAAAGTTCGTAAAGATTTGATAAAGTGTGATATATTTTCACAGTTTATCAGGTGACGTTCCTTCTACCACCGACAATGTGTACAACTTTTATCATTGTTATCAATAGACTGTGGATTTTTATGCAAATTCATATTTTGCGAATTAACGGAATGAGAGCTTTGTAAAGATTTCATGTGTACGACTGTGTGGCAGACCACGCGACCCCTGTGTACGACAGTCTACTTGCGCGCGCATGCGCGGAACCTCGCCCGTAGCAGTACTGCGATGTTACGGCCAGGTGGCGTAGCTTCTCGAGCGCTTTCTCGCGAGAGAATTGCAGTATCGCGGATATATATGTCGGGACGATCGTCTGGTCATAAATTGCTTTTGCACGAAGCGGAGACGGGGCATACTAGTTCCTTATATTTTTGCATATTAAGTGCACTGTGTAATTTTTTGAAAATTAAAATTTCCCATAAATGCATAGACATCCGCAGTCTAGTTATCAATAATTTAAGTTTTCGATCGAATAAATTTGTTATAGATTGATCTTATCGGTGTTTACCTTGAAAAGTTTGACTCTGTTTCGATGTTTCGTCCTTTAGAGGGCTCTAAGCTTGGTTTCACTAATTTTTAAAAGCTACCATCGAGTGTGAGAACCTTTTTATGGGTACAGTATTGAAAATAAGGGTTCCTTTACGAAAGGTGATAAATAGACTGCGGATGTTTGTGCATTTATGGGGAATTTTAATTCTCAAGAAACTACAGAGTGCACTTAACACATTACCGACCGATAGCCTATTAATCGACTTTTTTACCGGCCAATACTTACCGACCGATAGCGTATTAATCAACTTTTTTACCGACCGATAGCCGATTAATCAACCGCTACCGGTCGGTAAAGTGTTAATATGCAGAAATATAAGAAATACTTGAAGTAAGATACGAATTATTATATTCAAGGGTTGAGACATCTACAAAGCTCCCGTTTTATTAATTCTATTAATAAAAATATGAATTTGCATAAACATTGGCAGTCTAGTGATAAAACAATTTCTTACGTGAAAGATCTTTCTCTTGATATGTATTTTTAACCTGATCCCCAAGAATAAAACTTTCAAGTATAGACTGAGATATCGAGGACTTCCGTTTTTTGAATCTGTTCCTCCAGTTGAGTCGATTTGTTTACTAGCTGGACCATAGGACCATAGGTACTTTTTATGGTCTTTGAATTCGTATTTAACCCGTCGAGTCGATACGTATGTATGTGTGATTCGAATTAAAACAAAATAACTTCATTTTAGAATTCCATTATTCCCATTAATAAATATGCATTTTATGGATTTGTTATTTAAAAAGTATACAGGGTGTTCCGGACAACTCTGGGAGAAATTTTAATGGGAGATTCTAGAGGTCAAAATAAGACGAAAATCAAGAATACCAATTTGTTGATGGAGGCTTCGTTAAAAAGTTATTAAAAATTTAAATTAAAAAATTTCAAATTGTTCTAAAAAAATTATTTTTGATTGCAGGGGCCAATTACAATAATTTTTTGGCCAATAGACATACCCTCGAAATCCTAACCATTTTCGAGAAAAAAATTCGAGAAGTTATGAAATTTTTCGACGAAAAATAAACTTTTCAATCGTTCTGAAAAAATTATTTTCGGTTGCGGGAGTCGATTACAATCATTTTTGGTCATTAGGTATACACTTGAATTCCTAACCATTTTCGAGAAAAAAATTCGAGAAGGTATGAAATTTTTCGATAAAATTAAAAAATTTCAAAATGTTCTAAAAAAATTATTTTTGGTTGCGGTGCTCAATTACAATCATTCTTTGTGAAAACACATATCCCTGAATTCCTACCCACTTTCGAGAAAAAAATTCTTTAACGAGAATATAATTTTTGGCCAGAAATGTTTAGCCAAAATTTCATGGGCATCTTTGAAACATCATAACTCTTGAACGGATTGAAGGATTTTAATGTTCAAAAAAGCAAACGACGCGCATTTTGGCCAAGAATATGTAGAAATTCTAACAATATTGAAAAAGTTATTCCTTGGCCCCGTAAAGTAAGGAAAAACCCCCTAAAACTGGTCCAATCTTCAAACGGTCATAACTCCTACAATAGTAAAGGTATCTCATCGAAATTTTTTTCTGAAGCAGAGTCCATGGATACCTGCAAAAAAGTATTAGACAACATTTCTGTAGAGCGTCAAACAAATTTAAAAAAAAAATCGACATGGTGCTGAAATTTTTCGGGGGAAAAAAAATTTCAAATCATTCTGGAAAAATTATTTTTAGTTGCGGGTGTCAATTACAATCATTTTTGGTCAAAGGACTTAACCCCGAAATCCTACCCATTTTCGAGAAAAAAATTCGAGAAGGTATGAAATTTTTCGACAAAATTAACAAATTTCAAATCGTTCTGGAAAAATTATTTTCGTTTGCGGGGGTCAGTTACAATCATTTTCGGTCATTAGACATACACTTGAATTCCTATCCACTATCCAGAAAAAAATTCGAGAATGTATGAAATTTTTTGACAAAATTAAAAAATTTCACATCGTCCTGGAAAAATTATTTTTGGTTGCGGGGTCAATTACAATCATTTTTGGTCATTAGACATATGCTTAAATTCCTACCCAGTTTCGAGAAAAAAATTCGAGAAGTTATGAAATTTTTCGACGAAAAAAAAAACTTTTAAAACGTTCTGAAAAAAATATTTTTGGTTGCGGGGGTCATTTACAATAATTTTTGGTCATTGGACTCAACCTCGAATTCCTACCCGTTTTCAAGAAAAAAATTCGAGAAGGTATGAAATTTTTCGACAAAATTAACAAATTTCAAATCGTTCTAAAAAAATTATTTTCGGTTGGGGCGGTCAATTACAATCATTTTTGGTCATTAGACATACCCCTGAAATCCTACTCACTTTCGAGAAAAAAATTCGAGAAGGTATGAAATTTTTCGACAAAATTACAAAATTTCAAATCGTTCTAGAAAAATTATTTTCGTTTGCGGGGGTCGATTGCAATAATTTTTGGTGAATAGACCTACCCCCAATATCCTACCCATTTTCGAGAAAAAAATTCAAATACGAGCAAAACTTTAAACATTAATAACTTTTTAACGAAACCTCCATCAACAAATAAGTATTCTTCATTTTCGTCTTATTTTGGCCTCTAGAGTGTCCCACTAAAATTTTTCCCCAGGAATAGCCGAACATCTTGTATAGTATTTGACTTTTCAAAAAACTAATTTGCTGATCCCTGCCATGGACAATTACACGCGCTACTCGTTGGATCGAGTACTCTGAAAAGAGCTACTCATTTGCATAAAGTGTTCTCGTAACTAGTCTGCAAAGATCTGTCGGCTCTTTTGTCATTGCTAAAAAAAAAAACAGCAGCACAATAACGACTAACCCAGCCATATACACACGAACATCATAACCCACGCATAATACATATCATTCCTCCCATTTGCACGAGCGTGGAACCTGTGTTCATTGTACTATGTACGTCCTTGTGTGTTGAGCGTTTGTATTTTGTTCCTTTTTTAATTTTAACAACAACGCACTCGGGAAACAACGGTGTTCTTTTAACCAGCTCTAATCATTTGCGATAGTAACGATCAGCGACGGAAGTTCTGAGGTTTTTCGTTCCAAGGAACTATCGAGTATACCACGTAATAGTAATTACACAGTAATTACGCGGTATAGTTGTCACGGGAATCTCAGAACTATCCGTAACAATGTCCACGGAAGCCTCAAACTTTTAACCATTTGCGGTCCGTCTGTCTCGTCGCAGGTTCTCAACTTACTACGAAGAATACTTTAGGATTAAAACAAGTATTCTTCTGTACCTCATGGAACAAGTCAGTCTGCGAAAGGTAACAAAAGTCACAGCTAATGTTAGTCTATGTTAATACGTTCGCTGTCCCGTGATCCCAGTGGGTTAGGACTCGTCTCACTCAGGAGTAGGAGTCTTTGCAAGTAGAAAACCTCCAACTGTATCACTTCAATTTTAACGCTCTTTTTTCAAATGATAGAATACTACGAATGGTATCTGTTGGAAATTAACAACACTCTCTGATAAACAGTTCAATATATATATTTATATTTGTTTCTACAATGGGCCATGTAGCCACACGCGTTCACTCGACCATCGACCAAATACCACTGCCTTTGTTCTCGGGCCACGCGCCCGGCACCGGCAACCGGCTCGCCCCGAAGGCTCCCGAGCCTACCCGAGTCGCCCCGAAGGCTCCCGAGCCTACCCGAATCGCACACGAAAGACGCGCAGTTGCACCGCGCTCCTTTCTTCCAACAGTATTAGATCAAACATGTGAAAAAATAGTTCATACATTAATTTGGCATTAGATCCCTAATCAGCGGCTTTAAATATCTTAATATACTGATCTTGGTGCAAATCAGAGAGCTATTTCATATTTTATCCGCGTTTTTGTCATTTTTTGTGCAATGTACGACCATGTGCTACCAGATCGCCATTTTTCATTTTTTACTCTGAAGGGAAATGCAATCCAGGCCTTAGTGTCGCCGATTTAGTTCAAATTTTGCAGAGTAATATATTTGATCCCCCTATTTATGAAGCTATATAATTATATGGACCACTAACTAATAGTTTATCAAATACTTGCAATTAAAGATTCACCATTTCAT